GTTTATAATGTTTACAGTGTTCTGTTATGTTTTAGAAGAATTATTGATGAATTGCAACATAAATTTGTAAATAAAATATATCCCTGTATTTCATCATTTTAGCTAATTTACAGATTTTATAAACATTGTTTCAAATGGTTAACATCCACTATATTATATATATATATTTATTTGCTTATTAATTTGGTTTGTCAATACAGGATTTCTCATTATAACACCCCTACCTGTCCTAGAACTCAATATGTAGACCAGACTGGCCTTGAACACACAGGAATATCCCTGTCTGCTTCCAAATTACTGGGATTAAAGGCAATGTATCATCATGCCCAGCATCAAATGGTTTTCATAAATAACATTTTCTTAAAAGATTTTTCATTCAAAGAAACCTAATATGGTTTACATAATCAAAACTAAAGGGGTAATATATATTGTCATTTGCTCTATTTCCAACTATAATATGTATTCCTGGTTATGGGTAATATATATTGTCATTTGCTCTATTTCCAACTATAATATATATTCCTGGTTATGCAGTATATCTACAAATTTTCTTGTGTTATTTCTTGAACTGGAATTTAAAAGGAGAGAACTTCTAGTATCTCATAGGATAAGAAGCATAATCACATCCTACATTTTTAAACCGCCAATTTCTCTTATACCCTTGCAACTATGGAACCATGTAATAGATGGTCTTTGCTTCAACTAGCATGGTGTTTAAAAATGTATTCCCATTAGAAAATGAACCAATGTTTTCTTCATGTTCATTGCCTATTAACAACCCATATTATCTATCTAACTAACCTATTTTTCTTTGGTTACAAGTATTCAGATTTTTCATTCTTTATAATTATGACTGGCACTAATGTGTTATTTGCAAACACATTTTTGAATGTTCATATTCTTAATTCTGTTGCATCAACTTGATCATGGCAATTGTCTTTTTATGTGTTGTTGAATTTGAAGTTTTATTGAGACTATGTGCATCTATGTTTCTCATGTAGCTTGGCCTATAACTGGATTTTTGTTATGTCTTCATTTTTGGTTTTTATTTGTATAACACTCTTTTCATAAAATTTGTTTGGTAGCATTCCTTTCCTTTTCATTTTGTGGAATTTCACAATGATTATTGATATTAGTACCTTAAAAGTCTGGCAAAATTCAGTAGTAAATGCTCTTAGGTATCAGATATTTAAATTGTATTTTGGAGACTTTAAATTACTTTATCAATTTCCTTTATTTACAGAGTTGTATTGCTTATCCTGGGTCTTTGTTTCTCCATATAAAGTTGAGTATTTTTCTTTCAAGGTCTGTGAAGAATTGTGCTGGTATTTTGATGGGGATTGCCTTGAACCTGTAGATTGCTTTTGGCAAGATTGCCATTTTTACTATGTTGATCCTACCTATCCAAAAGGATGAGAGATCTTTCCATTTTCTAGTATCTTCTTTAATTCCTTTCTTTAAAGACTCAAAGGTCTTGATATACAGGTCTTTCACCTGTTTGGTTAGTGTTACCCCAAGATATTTTATGTTGTTTTAGGCAATTGTAAAGGGTTATGTTTCTCAAATTTCCTTCTCACACCATTCATCATATGTATATAGCAGCATTATTTATAATAGCCAGAATTTGGAAGCAACCTAGATGCACCTCAACTGAAGAATGGATAGAGAAAATGTGGTACTTTTATACAACAGAGTACTACTCAGCGGGAAAACACAAAGGCATCTTGAAACTCACAGGCAAATGGATGGAACTAGAAGAAACCATTCAGAGGGAGGTAACTCAGTCACAAAAAGACAAACATGGTATGTAATCACTCATATATGGATTTTAGACATAGAGCAAAGGATTACCATCCTACAATCCACACCGCCAGGGAAGCTAGAAAACAAGGAGGACTCTAAGAGAGACATGCATGGGCCACTGGAGAAGCAGAAAGGGACAAGATCTCCTGAGAAAGTTGGGAGCATAGTGGGAGGGGATAGGGAGTTTGGAGAGTGAGAAGGGGAGAAGAGGAGGGGTGAGGAGGACATGCAGGAGCAGAAAGATTGAGTTGGGGGAAGAACAGAAGAGAGCAAGATAAGAGATGTCATAATAGAGGGAGCCATTATAGGTTTAAAGAGAAATCAAGCACTAGGGAAATGTCTGGAGATCTACAAGGATGACACCAACTAACAATCTAAACAACAGAGGAGAGGCTACCTTAAATGCCCTTCCCCTGATAATGAGATTGATGACTAACTTATATGCCATCCTAGAGCATTTATTGAGCAGCTAATGGAAGTAGAAGCACAGTTAAACACTGAACTGAACTGGAATCCAGTTGCAGAGAGGGAGGAGTGATGAGCAAAGGGGTCAAGACCAAGCTGGTGAAACCTAAAGAAACAGCTGACCTGAACAAGTGGGAGCTCTTGGTCCCCAGACTGATAGCTTGGAAACTAGCATGGGACTGATCCAGACCCCATGAATGTGGGTCTCAGTGAGGAGGCCTGAAAAATCTATGTGGCCTCTTGTAGTAGATCAATATTATCCCTAGCATAGGAATGGACAGTATTCCACATATAGGGATACTCTCTGAGACTAGACACACAGGGGAGGGCCTAGGCCCTATCCCAAAGGATATGACAGAATCTGATGGTCATTTATCTGAAGGCCCCACCCTCCCTGGGGAGCAGAAGGGTATGGGATAGGAGGCTGTTAGCAGGGGAAGCAGGGGATGAGGGGAGGGAGAGGGAACTGGGATTGACTTGTAAAACAATCTTGTTTCTAATTTAAATAAAATTGAGAAAAAATAAAAATGAAAAAAATACTTTATCAATTTTACATGATTTAGATTTGTTGAAGTATTTTTGTTAATTTTTTTATTTGAATTAGAAACAAGATTGTTTTCCATGACAATCCCAGTTCCCTTGTCCCTCTCTTCCTCCCCTACCACACCTCCAAATAAACCCTACCTATCACATATCTTTTCTGCTTCCCCTGGATGGTGAGGCCTTCCATAGGGTGTCATCAGAATCTATTGTATCCTTTGGGATAGGGCCTAGGCCCACCCCCATGTGTCTTGGCTTAGGGAGTATTCCTCTATGTGGAATGGGCGCCCAAAGTCCACACCTGTGCTAGGGATAAGTACTGAACAACTACAGGAGGTCCGGTAGATTTCCGAGGTTTCCTCACTGACACCCATGTTCCTGGGGTCTAGATCAGCCCCATGTTGGTATCCCAGCTATCAGTCTGGGGATTTTAGTTTTACAGAGATATCAGGCACTAGGGAAATGTCTGGAGATCTACAAAGATGACACTAGATAACAATCTAAGCAACAGAGTAGAGGCTACCATTAAATGCCCTCCCCTGATAATGAGATTGATGACTGGCTTATATGGCACCCAATAGCCCTCATACAACAGCTGGTGGAAGTAGAAGCAGACACCAACAACTAATCACTGAACTGAACTGAAATCCAGATGCAGAGAAGGACAAGTGAAGAGCAAAAGAATCCAGACCAGGCTGGTGAAACCCACATAAATAGCTGTACTTGAAGTATTTTTATATTATCTTAATTTAATTTTGGTAATTCATATGTGTTTATACTTTATCCATTATCTTTAAATTTTCCAATTGATTGAAATATATATTGTCAAATTATACTCTAATGATTCTCTGAATTTGATGGGTATCTCCTATGAGATTTCCCCTTTCCTCTCTAATTTTATTATACTTACTTATATTTTTAAAGACACAACTCTTTGTTTCTTTGATCCTTTGTACTGTGTTATTCTTATTTATTTACTTAATGTATGTCCTAATCTTAATTTTTGTTTTTTGATTACCAATATCAAAATTAAATTGTTGTGATACCAATAATGTTCATTAAGTTGCTTATTTGAGATCTCTCTAACTTTTTAACGTAGATATTTGTAGTTATAAATTTTGCTCTTTCAAATGGCTCTCATATTCCACTGTTTCTTGTATGCTGTGTTTCCATTTTCCTTTGAATGTCAGAACATTTTAATTTCCTTCCTGATGTTTGTGCTGATTTATTGATGTCTAGCTATACTCAATTGTAATTATATGGATGCTGCATTTATGCTATCTTTTTGATGAATTATCCATGTACAAGATTTTATAACTGCTTTTAACTCCACCTCCAGGGTTCAATAATCTTATTTATACCTGATGGCATTTAAAATCATATGCACATATCCTCATCACCAAGTACACATAATTAAAATATAGATGAATTACTTCATACTTTTAACCCATACATGACACATTCTTGTATATTTATGTTAAAATACCTCTCTTCTCTCATGATAGTAATATTTAACAGTACATTATTTGTATTTTATATTACAGTGATTAGTTTACTATTTTGTGTTTTTTTATCATTTTCAGAAAGTGATTTAACTGCTAAATGGTATATTTCCATACTTGTACAACAAAAATAATTATAACCCTGACTACAATGTAGAGTTAATGTTAGTTAATGCACAATGAGAGCTTACCTGTATAAGCATACTGAACCAAAGAATTAAGTGCATTTGGATCAACTCCTTCCATCCTGACCTCCTCTTGTCTGGCTTCAAGCACATCATTAGTAAACATTGCAGCAAAATAGTCAGATACTGCACTGAGAACCAATCTAGAAATAGAAAGGTTGAATTAATACTCATATCAGTCAACAGTATCACAAATGATGATGCAAAACTTTCAATACATTTGAGAAACTTGTTAGTATGCTTTCTCCTTAAAAAGTTCACAATTGTCAGGCATGGCTGCAAATGCCTTTAATCTTGGGCAGATTCTCTGAGTTCTAGGTCACCCAGGTCTGCATAGCAAGTTCCAGGCCAGACATAGTAAGTCGCTGTCTTAAAACAAACAGACAAGCCTGGCGGTATTGATGCATGCCTTTAAACCCAGAACTCGGGAGGCAGACACAGGTGGATCTCTGTGACTTTGAGACCAGCCTGGTCTACAAGAGCTAGTTCCAGGACAGCCTCCAAAGCCACAGAGAAACCCTGTCTCAAAAAACCAAAAAAACAAAGCAAACCAAAATAAAATATACAAAATATCACATTTTGTTAAACTGTACTGATGTTAGAAAGGGCAACTAAGTAGACTGAACTTTTTATAGTTTGTTATTTTATTTGCATCATCAAAATTTCCAACTGTGTTTCTATTAAATATTGGATAATAAAATATTAATTTGTCAATATTTCATAGTAAAACAGGATTTCTCCCTCATCCAATTTATAATCAGTTTACAGTTTTCTCCTCATTCATATTTGTATCATTTGGATGTTGTCTGCATATGGTATTTACCGGTGAGCTGGAATTTTGAGATGTCCAGCAATAAGTAACACATCACACAATTTTTTCTCTTTCAAATAGTTTTGCATTTTACTGAGAGTATAATCTGCATGGTTTCGAGAATGGAAGTGATCCTCAGAAGTGATATTCATTTCTTCAGGTTCTTCAGCATATATTCTGAAAGTTAAGCAAAAATGAGAACATGATTTATCATATAATTAATTTACAGATTTCAATATTCTCCATATATATATATATATATATATATGAAATATAGTCATGTCTTCTTTATACAACATATTTGAGCAAATTACATTAAAATTTTCTCTAGAGTAATAAATGTTTCACTATTATTACTGCCTAAACTTCCATTCAAATGAAGAGTTATAGTATTTTTATTCAGAACAACACTACAACTAGTATTTTTATATGTATATATATAATCAACAAAACATCACCCTCTTTTGTGCTATTTCTTTAAATCTTATAGCTATCATGATTGTGTTCAGTTTCAATTCAAAGTAATATTTTCAATCATATCCAGATAGATAGAAAGAAAGAAAAGAAAGAAAGAAGAAAGAAAGAAAAGAAAGAAAGAAAGAAAGAAAGAAAGAAAGAAAGAAAGAAAGAAAGAAAGAAAGAAAGAAAGAAAGAAAGAAAAGTTTGATCTTCATTCAAAGACATGGACATTCCTAAAGTGGATTCATATGTCACATTTACTAGCAATGTTGTGACTTTATTTTTCATAGATAAATTCAAGTCACACTTAACTCATACATTCTAGTCTCTTTTGTGTGAGAAGACAGTCTGCAGGCTACAGAAAAAGAAACCTGGACACAAACCAGGCCACAAAACACTTGACAATCTGTCCTGCCCTCAAGAACACTGTGGCGGCAC